GGTTTGGAACGGATGTCGCATTCCCTCATCGCAGCTGAGACTGAAAGCTACAAAAACGCATGATCGATGTGTTTGCATTTCTTGTCTTCACCTTGCCTGCCCAAATGCTTTCCCACCGCTGAACCTCGCTCGCCTGCCTGTGGGGGCTCTCCAGGAAACTGATAGTGGAACTGAAATCTTTCCCGGTAGCTAATTCATGTTTTGCGACGCCTCCAACACCTTGTGGAGCTAACCAGGCTGGCTGAGTTTAGAGGTTGGGTATGGAATTTCAGGGTTGCTTAGAATGCAAGACTGCAGAGTTCAGGATTGCGGGGGCTGCCTTGCCTCGGGTATGAGGCCCGTATAGTTGGTTGATTGCTATCGCGCTTGCGTCCTCTTAGATCAGGGTAACATCTGCTTTCAGCCCCGATTGCCTTACAGTTTCAAGGTTCAGGGTTTGGGGTTTTAGGGTTTGGGGTTTCAGGGTTCAGGGTTCAGGGTTTAGGGTTTTGGCCCAAGTTTCTCTATTAAGTATGCCAGTTCTGCACAGTGTGGACAGCGAATGAGCCCCACAGCCTCTGATTACCCTGTTTGCGCCTGGGAATTGAAGTCCCAGACCCAAAAAGCAAGGCTTGCATGAAGCCTCTTACCCCCACAACTTTAATCCTTAATCCTAAGCCCAAGATCCTGAACCATAATTGTAGCCCCAAGCCCTGAATTCTACATCATAAACCATAAACCTTAAACTCTACATTCTCTACCCTGGTCAGGCGTTGTCATAGGTGCGGTACGAGCGATGCCCGACCAGCGAAGCATCATGGATGCTGCAAGGGTGCGCCCGTAGAAGTCTTGGATCCCGGTGGTTCAGGGCGTAGTTTCAGGATTCAGTGTTTAGGGTCAAGGGCTTCAGATTTGAGGCTTCAGTTTCAACAGGACCTTAGAAACCAAAAAGATTGTGTTAACTAGTATTTCCCGGCCAGTTTTTTGCCTGGGTCCAGGCTATGGACTTAGGCCGAAGGTTGCTGAGGTGTATGTCAGGTTCGTAGAACAAGGGTACGATGAGATTTCAGGGTGTATAAGCTTTGCGCTTGAGGTCAGTTTCGTTGGGGTGCTCTGTTTTGGAAGGTTAGTGCTGGGTTCCAAGGAACCAGGAAGTTGACGACCAGTTGGCCTCGTGTTTGAACGTTTTGAATGGTTGACTCAATTTGAGTTTTTGTTGTGGCATCAGCCCCTCAACCCTGAACCCTAACCTTAAACCCTAAACCTTAAACCGTAAGCCTTAAACCCTAAGCCCTAAACCCTAAACCTTAAATCCTAAACCCTAGACGGTCCGCATGCAGCTTCTGAAGCTCTCAGGGCGCCCAAACCCAACGGCCAGCTCAAGAACGGCTGAATGCCCTCAAGCCTAGGGGCTTTGTGTTTGGGACTCTTTCAAGGGTTTCTTATAGGGTGCTATAGAGACAATCTGTACATCTGCTATTCGCATGCTGAGCTTACAAGTCTCAGCCTTGACCCCCGTCATGAAATCACGACTGTCTGGATTTATTCTGCAGGGCTACGATCCCTTGTTCCGTGTCCTTGCGCCCTCACTGCAATTGGCCTAAACCCCAAGCCGTAAAACCAACTTCTAGCTATCCCTTTTTGTAGTTCCCCTAAACCGTTAGCCCTCGGAGATCTGACGCCTGTGCCCGCAGGTATTGCCTGTCCGGACCCGAGTTTGCGTGATGCAGACTGCAAGGCTGAGTCCAACCGGAATTTAGTTATCATTCGTTTTTAGTGCTCGTTTTACAAATTCGAGTAGTATCAATGTCAGTGCTAGTATGGCTACAGGTCCAAACCCGAGAGACAATGAAGTACATTCGCGAGTTTGTGAATACTAACACTAGCTTGCCCAGTCCAATTTGAGTCGTATGAATCCCCATACTTACCCAAAGATGATTGAAGCTACCAACCCCAAGCCCTCAACCCTAAGCCCCTGCGCACCCATGTCTTGTTTTGGACCCAGACCTAGGGATGAGCCTTCCGTTCTGTGCGGATTTAATTTGCATGTCGTACGCGACTTGCAGCACCCATTTTTACAAGTGGCAGATTTCTAGAAGCATTAGGCTTGTTTTTCTATGTTGATCGCACTCATGTATTTGCCGTCATTGGCCTTGCTTCATCGCGATTTTGTCTGGCTCCTGGCAAAGGTCATCTTTGTGGTCGTGAACATCGTCAGCTTGTACTTGATCTACAGCTACTTTCACCTCATGCCTCTGCTACAGAGCAGTGATGAGAAGAGGCTGGCTCATGGCAGTTTCATAGGAACCCTAAACCCTAAACCCTTGTAGTCCCCCTGTAGCCCTAGGGTCTGCAACACCCCCAACTTGCGGAATCCCCATATCACTGAACCCTAAACCCACATGCCCAGATAAACAGAAATTGTATAGGGCCCAGGATTTGCGAGCAATATCAAAACCCTCGAAAAAGCCGGTTTTGCGAGCAAAGCGAAACCTCAATTTTTTTCAAGACCACAAACCCTATACAATTTCTAGAAGCCCTAAGACATAAGCCCATCCCAGTACGCGCCTGGCCCCAGATACCATATGGGCATCGTTCAGACGGCCGTGTTCAATGGCGCTGGGGGCCTGGTTATGGTTCTGTTTCGCTCAAGGTTCACAAATAAGAGTTTCTCACGAAAAGGTGCGGCTGAGAAATCGCAAATACATCGATATGTAAATAAGCGTCTGTATGGGGGGTTAAGGTTTTTTAGGCTTTAGAGGAGGGGATTGTGGGGTCCCTGTGACGGATGATGATGATGATGATGATGATGAGTATCCCTTGAGAAGCTCCCAACCAGCATGTTCTTCATAGCTTTTCAAGCAAGATGTGTTTTCTGAAGCATTTTCAGGCATACTCTGAAGGAAAAGTTAGGTTAAGCCCCACCTTCCAATAGTGACCTCAAGGGATACTGGTCATTGCACTAAGGTCCCTGTACATCCGCAACCCTAAGCCCCAAACCCGAAATTCCCAGTAAGCCAGTATAAACCACTAAACCTTAAACGGTCGTTTCCCAAAATAGGTGGACCCCAATATAGACGCCAATCTACCATAATCGGTATTATGGGAAGCCCCAAAAAGATAGCCCTGATTTTGAGAAACCTTCAAATGCTCAGTCAACCCTAACCCCCTTAAAATTCCCAGTAAACCACTAGTACGGAGTGGCAGCCTGACTTTAAGCCCTAAACCTTAAACCCTAAACCCTACACCTTAGACGCTAAACCTTAAACCGTTAAGAGTCCTGGGAGCCTCAAACCTTTTTCTGCCATTAGCCTGTTTCTAGGACTTTAACCTCTTGGCCTTCCTAGGGTTTATAGGGTTACAGGCTTAACGGTGAAGGGTTCAGGATTTAGGGTTTAGGGGGCCCGAAAAGGTAAACTTTTTAGTAGGGGTCCGACAGTCAGCTAAGAAACAAGAGCTATTTTTCTGCACCCCTCGGGGTGGTAACCCTTGGCTTGAGCCGCTGGCTCACCAAACTGGAATTTTTAAGCGTTTGGGGTCTGGGGTATAGGGATATATGAGGATATTACCCCGATAATGGAGAACTGAATGGAAAAGAACACGGAACGTGAAACGGAAGCTGATGATGTAGGGGTTGTACAACTTGCCTCTGGGAAGTTGAGAATCGTGAAATAAAACACACAAAAAGGGAAGCTCTTTATTGTTCAGGACTACATAGGGATTACTGCAGGGATCAGTCCCTTCATTCCTTTCGAACCAAAGGTAAGTAAACCCTGAACTCGGATTCAAGAGTTGGATCACAACTCCTGAACTTCTTTCTCCCGCTTGCGAGGCTCATCCGTCAGACAGTTCCCAAATCTGAGGTTATCTAGCAAATTGTATAGGGGACTACTATAGGGGTGTTTATTGGGGATACTAGGAGTTTAGACTCTAGCTCTATGTAGTGGTGTGAAGTACGTGCCGTGTTCACAGTGCATGCATGCTACGCAGTACACGACCTTGAGAAGGCTGGTGCACCCATCTTGGCTGGCGGACCCTACAACTTCATAGTCCCCTTAAGTAGACAGAATATGGGGTATATGGGGATCTTTTTATGATATACCCAAAGCCATGATCTATCTACTTAAGGGGGACTATACCTTGAGCTCGTTAAACTGCAAACTTGGGCTGTTGACAAACTAGCTCCGTGGAAAGAAAGTCGAATTATTCAAAATGATTCTGCTCTTGCACCCCGTCTGGAATGCTCATGTCCAATGCCCTGGCAAAAGCTCAAGCTCCCATGAACCCTCACCGCAAGAGGACAGCCCCTTTCGAATTTTACAACGCTTGATGAAGTTCTGTCTGCTTTGCTGCTATGCGTGCTCCGCACTGCATGCCCTTGCAACTGGCCCTTGCAAACTGGCTCACAGCCCTTTTCTGAGGCTCGGGCCACACAGACAAACATGCTTAAGTGAGGCTACAAAGAAGCATCCAACACTCCTCCTTGTCTCCCACCTTCGGTGACGAGACACACTGCAGCTCACACACTGCTCCCCAAAAGCACCAGGTTCATTTTTGGGTAGCCTTCGACCGTACCCTCACGGTGACGGCCGGACCAAAACACAACTAGCGCTTGCCGCTAGCTAGGGATATCCTTCCACCTATACAGCCACTGCGAAATGGCCATCTTTGAAATAATGTCCGTGTACTTCAAGGTACACTTCTGACGCAGAGCCTTTTCGCGCCACAGCCACAACAAGTACTTGAGCTGACGTACAGTAGGCAGATCCGCTCTTCCTGATGATGGAAAAAGCACACCTGAGAACCTATCTACAAGATCTGCTTTGACTCCTGAAGTAAGAAAGCCTTGACTTCTCAGAGCTACACGAAGTTCTTCGCATGAAAGGAGCATGAGAACATCTCTTACCACACGAGCCCGCTCTTGAAGATCTTCAAGACCTGCTGACACTGAGCTTTGAGCTCCTGGCGACAACAGCAACTCCTCCTCAGCTTGAACCCTCTGTCTTTGAGGAGTCACTGGTCTAGTGGTCGTCGTCTCTTGGAGCACCGAGGGCTGCGTCGACCCATCTTGCCTCCTGCGACGCAAAAGCTCCTCTGAAGCAACACTCATCCTTGACGAAGCCGCTGAAGAGGCGAACACCAAATCAGAAGATCTCTCTGAAACAAGACTCATGCCCGCCTGAGAAGCCACTTCCTTTTTCGCCGCTTCAGATGCGATATCTGATACTCTCTTCAGCTTCCTGAACTTACGACTTCCTTTCACCCACCTTCGGTAGGATCTGAACATAGCCTTGCTCGCTTCCCACACGCCTATCACGGCGACACAGGTTAACACTAGCAGAAATGCTAGCTCTTCCCACCCTGTGGCTGGCAGCGGACTCTTCTTCTCCCCTGTCTTGACTCCCGTTGCTGGAACCAACAGCGAGGAGAGCACAACCACCACCGACAAGAGTCGTGCCTTAAAGGCGTTCAGGATCTCGGTGATGCGATCGCCAACGAAACCCCATAGGCTCAGAAGCCTCCACAGCCGTAGCCTTGGCTGTAGCTTAGTTGCTAAGTCAGCTAGCTGGAGATCTCCTGGAGTGTGTCTTACCTCCAGACGACCTTCACTAACTGCCTCTCTGATAAAAGCAGCTCTGATCTTGAGATGCCTCGTTCGCTGGCTCCCTGGGCCTCCAGAACACATGCTTGCCGCGCTCGTGTTGTCTATGGCTAGGACACGCTTGTATCGGCCAGGATATATCTCGTCCAAGACAGAAAAAACCGACTCCAACAAAACGCAGCCTTGGGTTGCTGCGTAAAGCTCGGCCTCCATGACTGAAAGCGTAACAAAACTCTGTCGCCCTGCCTTCCATGCCACTGCTGAACCTTCCACAGTGACCACGGCTGCCCCAAAGGAACGCCGCCCAAAAGGGGCGTACGAGGCATCTGTGAAACACACCGCCTCTCCAGTGGCTTCGCTTCGTGGGCCCAAAAGAAGCTTCATGGAACATGTGCCAGCAAGGTAGGAAAGCAGGCGTTGACTTACTCTCAAAACGTGGGACGGCTGCTTCGAGACCACACTGGACATGTGATTAACTACGAAAAGTATATCTGGCCGTGATTTCGTGGCTAACCACAACGCTTCACCAACGGCTCTCTGGGCACTTCTCAAAGTTTCGTCATCGATGTCCGCCTCAACAGCATCCAGCTCAGCCTCTACGACCTCGATCCATTCCCTGGGTACTGGGAGCAGCGTGCTGTGCGTGTCATGTAGGTTGTGCGCGCGTAGCAAATCTGCTATGTACGCTGCTTGGCTAATGCTGAAGCTGCCGCTTTGTGGCTCGCGTAAGATCTCTACTCCCAAGTAGCGAAAAGCAACCTTGTCATTGACCCACTCCAAGGCGCTCGCCGGCCATTTTTCCAATACGAAGGCATGAAGGGCATTCACAATATGGATCTCCCCTAGGTACAGGATATCGTCCACATACGTTACAAGAAGTCCAACAAGATTGCCCGACAACTCATCCAAGACCATCCAGAGCTCAGTCTCTGCAATAGTAGGTCTCAAAATCAAGACCAGGCTGTCCACGACTCCCGCAACCGACTGTCGCGATATGCGGCCCACACTGCTGGGCTTTCTCTCAAGCCATACAATGGTCTCTCCAAAATCCACCCAACCTCCTCAACGACCTGTGCATCTCTCACCACACGAGGAGGATATATGCCGTATCGTGGTAAGTGATCAGGCCAAGGAGCTAGGAGGAATGCCCCCGTAATGTCAGAAATGGCTGCCCGCCACCGCCGGGATGCTGCCAACACCAGTGCAAGACGCAAAGAGTCCGTGCTGACACCTGACGCGTGCAGGCTACCCCCTTCATCTGCCAGGAAGTTCCCGCAAATGACCACCCGACACTTTCTTTTGTACTTGGAGCCCTGGTCCGCTGGAGGCTTCAAAGTAAAGACACACTTTGCTGGAGCCACAACCACTGACCCCTGCCTTTCCATCGCTCTGAACTAGGAAACTGGGACTTGCCTCACAGTTCCTGTGGCGATGAGGTTCTCAACCTCCTTCTTTATAGCAGCACGCCATCTCTCAAGAGCAGCCTTCACTTGGGGAAGAGGAACGGTATGGATCACTTGCAGGTCATCCTCCAACGAGTCTAGCAAAGACTCATAGTCTGAATCTTGGCCGCTGGCACTGGAGTCCATTGAAGACGTACTCATTGCCCGCAAAAACGTCATAGCCCTCAAAGACTCAACATGAGAGAATCGCGTATGCACTTCCTCTAAGTATTGGGAAACCTGATCTCTGGCATCTCTGAGATGGCCACGGGCTTCATCCCCAACTCTCCTGTACTCTTCGCTCAAAATTTCTTCCTCCTCCAACAAGTCCCGAAGTCTTGCTGCTCTTTCTTCAAGATCTTGAAGCACTACATCCAAGTCTTGACGAACATGAAGAAGAGGCTCTGGAGTTGCCTCATGGACATCATCTTCTCCAGCGCGGTCTGCAAAGCTGTCCGGCTCAACATCAGCCTCCTCTCCGTCCGCAACACCCGAAGAAGGTCTAATCAGGCCCGCTCTCACTGCCTTCAAAGAAGCAGCAGGCCCTTCTGAAGTAGTTGACCGACTCCAATGCGGGGTCCAGGCAAAGCCGATATCTCTGAGCACTGCAGAGTCCTCCGCCTTGAGCTTTCCACTATCTCGAACAGAGTAAGCCAAAAGGACCACCCTGTTTCCATTGGACCACTGTCTTGTTGAATGCAAACACTTGGGATCAAAAGTCTGGGGTCCATCTTGAAGCTTTAGCAATTGAGCACCCTCTGGGGTATCAACCTCAATCTCTCCGCCCTTGAACGCCGACAAAGGGACCACCAGGTTGGCTCCTGCGTTATGAATATCCTTATGGCCCTTCGCCTGGATGTTGATGTTAACCGCCACAGAGTTGAACTCATGATCTGGCTTAACCTGCTTGACGTACTTGACAAATGCTCTCGTAGCCATCGGGAAAACCGTCGTAGACTTCTTCAATCCAAGGACTCCGCCATGAACAAAGGCACCCGAAGTCCACAACTTCTGAGCATCCTCCACCACTCCAAGCCTTTTAGGAATAGGCGAGGTTCCAGGCAGCAGGTACGCCAGGATCTCCAACTGCTCAGGCTCAAGGTGACCCTCACGCAAAAGACCAAGAGCATATTGTTCAGCTGGGTGTTCCGGATCATGATCACCAACATCCACATCAAGGAGATCAACTTCTGAAGCTTCCTCCAAAGTAGTCTTCCCCTTAACTCTCTTGGACGGAGTCAGAACCATGGCTTCATACTTGCCTAGGTCGATCAGCTTGTCAGAATCCACCAAGTGAGGTCTTAGATGTGCGGTCGTAAGAAAAGAGCCATCCTCAAAGCGTACTACATGGCCTCCTCGAACGTCAAGACTGGGACCAACATACTTGCCAGCCTTCCACCTGATGTTGAGGTCATATCGGCCGCCTGCTCCATAAACTTTCGAACGCACATGTACTGGGGTTCCGAACGGAAGCACATCTTGTCCTCTACCCAGCTGAGCTTCACGCTTTGCCCAAGTGGCATACACAGCGGCCATTGCCCAACACGTTCTTGGTAAGGAGGTTGCTGTCAAGAGCTTTCTAGCTTGAGCCTTGACCCATTTCACGGCGCTTTCCGCTCGACCATTTGCCTGGGGCGCCTGCCCCTCTGTGTACGTGCAAAGGGCACCTCGCTCCAACAACCACCTCCTCAGAGGAACTGTACGAAGTTCGCGTGCTCGATCGGCATGGACTCGGGATATGGGCAGCCCCTCCGCACGCAAAGTCAAGAAAACCTCTTGGACTGCCGCATAGACTTCTGAGGATGTTCGGGATCTCATTGGACGGGCTACATAAAAGGTGTCAAACTCAAGGCCCTCACCCACCTCATGGAAGATCTTCTCCAACTCCTCCTGCGACAGCCCCTTGAGGTCCGGCTGGTCACCCTCGTCCACCGCCATCTCCTCATACTCCTCAAAGAGGTCATCCTCCAAGATTTCATCCTCTACACCGTTCTCAACATCTGGAGACCCATTATCCCTACCCAACAGAACTCCTAAAAGATCTTCCGGCTCTGCAGCTACTTCAGTATCCATCGGAGCTCCGTCGCCTGAAGCACCCAAACTACCTGAAGTCCGCTCCTCCTGAAGACATTCCTTAGAGCCTTCGTCTGCTACAACAGGATCACCTTGGCATACTGAATCGGCACTCCCATCTCCTTGGTCGCCCTTAGCGCGCTTCTTTCTCTTCTGTGAGGGCTGTTCCTTCTCCAAGCGGGGGTAGGTGTACGCGCCGATCAACAGGTACCTGTAGTCGTTGTGGTCAGGATCCGCAGCCTTTACTCGGAATGGGCCTGCCACATCAAGGCTAAGGCAATGCGCACTGGGATGCTTCAAGCGTTTGTGAATACGACCAATCCCGGAGGAGGAGACACATGTCTTGCAGTGCCGGCTGTAAGGAGTATGGTTGTTTCTCACGTGGGCTCTCCACATTCTCAAGTCTTTTTCGCTAAAAGACTCAAGAAAGCCCTTCACATCGAGCTTCTTTGCCCACTTCACAATCTGCAAAGCCTCCGGCTCCTTTCCCCACCGGCCCACGGCCTCCACGATCTCCCTTTTGAACTTAGGAGTCCACGCGGCTGCATCACCAGTGGTAATCTCCAAAGGCAAAGTGAAGTCTAAGTTGGTCGCCATGACCTCGCCAACTTCCTCCACACACATTTGCTCCACAAACTCCGGCCAAATCCTTCTAATATCCTGCCAGCACTGACCAACACCACTCTTCAAGGCCTCAAAGAGTTTCCTCCCCTCAAGCATGCAGAACAGAGGAAAGGCCCTCGCATTACTTCTAGCAGCCTTGGCCACCATGGACAACCACATCTGCTTCAAGATAAGTGGCACATCACGTTCTCCTCGACAAGGAGGAGCTCCAAAGATGCCGGCAATCTTTCCCATAGCGGCTCCCCATAACAACCCCCTATAAACTCCACTCATTTTGTTGAGGTCAAAGGCCAAGGACTTAGTGATATCAATCTCCACAAGGACAGCATCGCCCTCAAGCTCCTTGATGGTCGGATCTGCGCCCTTGCCTTGTCCAGAGTACAGATGCAAGATCCACTCAGAAGACAACATCCTTTTTCGCTTCTGCTGGGACATAGGAAAGGCCTTCAGGTAGTCCCAGCCTGCCCGCTGAGAGAGCTCAACACCTTCCGCCAAGGCAGTCTTGTCCATTTGGCTTGCCCACCTGAAAGGAGAATCTTGAGCAGATAAGGCTTGTAGTTGAGAAGACCTCTGTCCTGACATGAGGAAAGAGTCCAGGTGATGCGACCACTCTCGCTCTTGGTCCCACGTCCAGATGGACCTTGCCGTAGACGCAGTCCGAGCCTGAAGGTCCATTAACTTCAAATCTTCCAACTCCTTGATGAGGTCTAAGGCGCAAGCTTCTCCAACCACCGGGCAAGGTCCCACAACCTTGGGCCTAATCAGACCATGTTCTGGATGTCGAATCTCAAGGCCTCGCTTTCTGGTCCAAGAAACATCACATCCAAGATCTTGAACAAGAGCTCCTAGTGGAACTATAGGAGTTGCCGCGTCTCCCTCCTTAGGAGCGGCCGCCAAAAGAGTTCCTCCACGATTTTGAGCCAACACCACCTCACCACCATCCGCAAGCTGCACTCTCACGCGCTTAGACACCTCAATCTCCTCCTGAGGCGCTACTCGAAACGGATGAGAGGCACCAGAGTCCAACAGTCCCGTTCTCCCGTCTTGAGGGCTGCAGCCATGCCCAACAGCCATGTTCTCAACCACGGTGGAGGAGAGGGAGAGCATCTTCATCTGCCTCATCTCCTTCAAAATCGCATTTGCTTCCTGAAGAAGCTGCTTCACTTGGGCCTCGGGGACCTCCGCAGCTCCAGGCCTGTTCTCTGATCCAGATGCCGAAGCGGTAGTTGCCTGCAGAGTCGCCGCAGGGGATCCTGCTATTGGATGCACGCAGTTGCAGCAACTTGAACAGCTCCTCCCTGTCCAGTAACAATAGGAGGTGGCGAAGCGACTGCCTTTGGAACATTAGCCTTCGCCTTGCCAACTGGACTTCCATCTGGTTTTATTGGGCAAGCACTCTGCTGATGTTGAGGGCTTCCGCAAGACCAGCATCGGCCTTGTTTTTCTTTGCGAGTGAAGTTGTGTGACCATGTACACGCCTTGCCCTTCGAACACCCTTGGTCTGAAAGGAAGTACTTGCAAGGAACAGCACCCTTCCCTTTCGCCTTGGTTTGCGAAGTAGGTGACCCAGGATCTGCTGCCGCCTTCGCTGGAGGAGGACCTGGAGTTGTAGTGATTGCCTTCACAAAGGGCACCTGCGAACTGCTAGCTGTCGAGCCCCTATAGGCCACCTGCTCAAACTCAGACATCAAAGCCTGATGCAGGTCCTTGACTCCCTTCTCAGTTGGGCGCACATCTACCTCCAGGTTATAGCGGAGCATGCTGATGCGAAACGAA